GAAGCATAACCCATGAATGTAGACAGTAGGGGGATGAAGGCATGTGCTAGGGGGTGTGGTTGGCCAGGGATAGGTCAATGGGGGAAAAAGAAGACATATGTAATACTTTAAACACTAAAGAATTTTAAAAAAAGACTTACCACACATAGTTAGTGGCAAAATAAAGTTAATCTTAAAAGAAGAAAAAAATAAAATAGGACCTCATTAAATATTTACTGCAAGAATTTAAAAAAAAATACAAAACAAATCAGAGGCCTTGTTCCTCCAGTCTCACTCATGTTCTAGCAAGATGCCTCAGTGACAAAATCTCTCTAACCTGGCTGTTCTTGTTTTATGTTGGTGATTCTAAAAATATTGGCTAAAAAAGTGTCAGAGAGAAGCCCTGGTGGGGTAGCTCAGTTGGTTAGAGTGTTTTCCACAAAACCCAAAGTTACAGGTTGGATCCTGGGTCAGGGCACATAAAAGAATCAACCAATGAATGCATAAATAAGTGGAACAACAAATGAATGTTTTTCTCTCTCTCTCTTTCTCTCTATCAAATAAATAAATAAGTAAAATTTTAAAGTGTCAAAGAAATAAGCAAGAATTCACATATATATGTTAAGCAAGAGAACTGTGAATTCATATATATGTATGAATATACATGAATATATATATATTCCTCTTTTTACTCATTTACCTCCATCAAACCATATGAAAGTTTTGTTCAACTTTCTAGATACTAGAGGCCCGGTGCACGATAAGAGCCGATCAGGGGCAGGACCAGCCAGTGGGAGAGGCCACAGGTGGTTGGTCAGCTGGCCCCACCCCCCATTGAGCCGGCTGGTCGGCCGCAGTGGGCATCATAGTGACAGGTTGTTCCAGTCGTTCTGGTCGTTCTGGCGTTCCAGTCACTGGCTCTTTATATATATAGATATATGGCACTCTTTATGGAATCTTTTAGAAGTGTATTGACAGCAAGAATTCTGCCTAAAATGGCTTTTGGAAGAGAAGTTTATTTTACCTTCATATCAAGAAGTCTAAAGATGGGCGCTGCTGGTATTGGTTCAGTAGC